TATGAAAGCTTAGAGACTCTAATAAAAGATTTACCAAATGTTGTTGCTACAATAGTAGAAGATATTAATAATTCTATTACACGTTATCTTGGTATTTCACCTGTTGAAGCAATAAAAAGAAAAAGTATTATTTCTAAGTCTTCTTATCCTTGAAATGGTCCTGTAGGCTTTGATGAAGAGAAGCTTTCTAGTGATATGCTTGTAAGATATTTACTATATCTTAGTGATCAGGAAAGAGGAAGACGTCGTACTGGTGATTTGAATTGGTTCTCACATATTTATCATATTTGTCAATCTATGGTACAAAAAAATCAGCTGATCTTATACTGGCTTGAAAAAGTCCCCTTTGGGTTAATTGATAATAATAATTATATTCTTAAACGTCCTAAAAGATCTTTTATTTGAGAAGAATTGATGATTATTCCTTATGATACAGAATTGCCTTCTCAGTGGGTACACATGAATTAAATTTCTAGTGATGATAAGAAGTTTTCTATCTTTTCATCAACTTGTTTATCAGTAATAAAATAATCCTTAGCTAATTTATAGTATAATTTATATAGTTCTATAATGGCGTTAAGAATTTTTGGATCTTTTCCATATCAAGATTTATTATCATCCATAATACTATGATATTTATCCTTATCTAGGAATAATCTTTTTGTATTTTTTAGGATATATACATCGGGATCTTCTGCTTGGCATAATTTTTTTATTCGCTCTTTATAGCTTTGCATGAATTTGCTATTCTTTGGCTTTCTATAATATATTCCTGCTTTGACTATATTTATTAATGCCTACTTGACTTTCTGGTATGTGGGTTTATTATCAGATAATTGAATTTGAGTACTCATTATGTAAGTGCTTGATTTATTATATGATACTTATATAAACTTTTTATTTTAATTAATTATTTTGGTATATAAAAAATAATTACATTATGTATGGTGAATATACTTGCCTCTTTATACACTTCTCTGATAAAATTTGTGAACAATCCTGTATATGCGAACAAGGATGTTCTATTCATTAGAAATATGTTATAAAGTTAACTAATAAGCAACTTACTCCTTGTAATGAATGTGGTAGACTTAATAGATCAGCTTCTGGTCGATGTCCTGATCATATAAAAGGGTTTTATGTCTCCTAATACTATAACAGACTGCGCTCTAAGGCCTAATAAATAGTAAATAGACTATTTAAATTTTAGTATTCTATTCGAAAATTTGGTATCCTGTTCAGAATTTTGGTAACCTGATACTATTTTTTTTGACCTAGCTTTGCGTAAATGAAATGGTTTTAGAATGTGTTCCCATATATTAAAAAAAAATGGTATACTAGAATGTGTTCTGTGACTTTTTAACTTTCTTGTGTACATACAAATTTTTGGTACCCATATCAATGTGGATACCGAAATTTTGATTTTGTTTACATTAATGAATTAGCTTTAAAATTAATTCTAGGATATCATGAAATATTGTATGTATTTTAGGCTTGCATAATCAGACCCAGTTCAAATTGCGTCACTTTGTTCCTTGATTTTCGATGGTCCTCTAGAGGCAAACAGAATAACATAAAAGTTATTAATCATATTAGGTTTGCAATGTCAGGCCCAGCTCAAATCACGTCACTTTGTTCCTTGATTTTCGATGGTCCCTTCTGAGGCAAACAGAATAATAAAAAATTTTTGATATATTATTTGTGATTAAAATCATACTAGAATGGTTATATCAAACAGTATAATTCTTGATATTTGAAGGTTAATTCCTATATCATCATTTAGAATTGAGTCAAATCACGCTAGAGGTTTAAATTTGATAATGGATTCCATATAGCTAAAATGGATTTGTGGATGATCAGAAAACCTTTCTGGATATCTTTTGGATTTTTGTCTCAGAACCCCCTTTTTGCCTTATATAACTTCCTCTTCAAGATTTTTACTGGGATCTGTGTTTAGATCACCAAAGTTCTCATCAAATCTTTCATTGAAGTCATAGGAACTTTTCTTATCAAGGTTTTAATTTTTTTATAGCTGATCAGAATCATTTTGTCTGCTAATTATTTTATGGCAGAATGTCGATAATTTTGGCTAAAATGATCAATATTACTCAATTTGTGCGACAATTGATTTCTCATTATCAAAAATAATTCACTTTATCATTACAATATGAAACTGCTTTCTGAGTGTATACAAGCTTTGAAATATTCTGGTAAGGCAAGCTACACGCTTGATTTCTTGTAAACAGTTATTATTTGTAATGTTAACGTGTCATTTTTGTATTTGTAGCTTTTTGGAATAATACAAACAGCCCAATCCTCAAAGGTTTTTAGAGTTCTGATCCCAGGCTGATAATTTAAATACTTCGACGGTAGAACACAATTGGTATAGGAAAGAGTTAAATACTATAAGTAAATATTACTCTGAAGCTTCTGAATTCAGAAAGTTAGTGTGAAAGTAACTAAAGGATTTTAAGGTAGATGTATTGTACATATTTTATTTGATCATATTGAAATGCTGTGGACTTTGTTCGTGGTGATTTAAAAGACTGCTTCACAAGTTATCGTATTTGCACAGACTATCTTGTAGATTGTAAATTCACAAGAGAATAATTGTGTGTTTGTTCGTTGTGGTTTTTGGATTGCGTATTCGTATAGACTACCTTGTGGATTGTAAATTCGCAAGGGAATGACTACGTGTTCAATCTATGGTTATTCCCATAATACTACTTAATTTGTTTTGCAATACTGCTGTTTAAACTGTACTTTTTTAATTTTGTATTTTTGCTTTTTCTTTTCATACATTAAGGATTGCAAAAATAGCAATATTATAAAGCTTTTCTGAAATATGGAACACATTATTATGGAATCAGAGTTAGTTGATAAGAAATCAAAATTGCAATGGTAAGTTGTTTTACAAGAACTTTTCTCTAGAGTGATACTTTAACTAACTTCTTTGCTTTTAGAAAGAAGGGATCTTGGAGTTCGAAAGAACAGGTCTGCGTTATCTTCAAGAGACTTCGTCAGCTGTCCAAGAAAAACAAATTTTAATCTACACATCTTATGAGTGTAGTACTTCAAAGTCAGCAACACAAACAAAAAAGGTGAGTCACCTACAGACTTATTTTTAGGAAGAATCTTCTTTAACTAAGATGGTTCTTAGAGAAAAAAAGAGTGTGAGTTATACCGAACCAGAAACAGATTCCGATTCTTACGAAGAGAAGAAACTGAAAAAGCCTAAGAGAGTAGGAAATACCCATTTGAAATCGACAGAATCTCCACATCCTGCGCTTACCCCATCTTTAGAGGAAGAAGAAGTGTCAATTGATGAAGATGTATCAGATGATGAAAGGTTGAAATGCTATGACGTATAGAAGTTTGTTGATTTATTATCCACAATCTGCATAAATTATTATTGACAAATTCTTCACAAGTTTCCAGTGATATATTAGCAAAAAACTTGCTGAAGTCGGTAAAGGAATTGTGAGGTATAATGTCATATTCCTTCCTGAAAGTAATAAAAATGATCTTTTACGTATTACATTCAGTGAAGAGTGGTAAACTTTCAAAAATTTTTTTAATAAGGTAAGAGATTGATATTATATATGATTTGTGTATATAGTAATGGTAAAATCTTATACGCTTCATGTTTAAACAGAAGAAGAGATTACTTTAAAGATTTCATCTTCAATAAAGAAAGTTGAAAATATTCTTAATAAATACTGGAAGCTTTGGTGAATGCAACAGATAGAGGATATGTTGAACTTAATTCTGTGTTTATTAATTATAATTATCAAGATAAATATAAGTTTCAAAGAGACTGGTTGGAGAACTGAGTGAATAATGTGTATCAGAAATTGTAAGTACCTTTTGTTTTACTATTTTACTGTTTATAGTTTATTACTATTAACCATTAGTATTTGTAGTTTAATATGTTTCCAGCTTTCAAGATATGTTCTAAATGATAAATCAAGTAGCAAATATCAATATCTATAAAATATGAATGTTTTGATGCCAGCCCTTTCTGCCAACAATTAATGAAAAAATCTCTAATTCTCTTCTCATGTACTGTCATAATTAATAGTGACATTAATTACATTAGCATTTTGTGAAAAGAAGGAATTGTTAGGGTTACAGGTTTGGAGGTGTTAGGTATTTTGATGATTGATGGATTTGATGTTACGAGTGATGATGATTTAGAGGGTTCCTTGACAGTTTTTTCTAGTTATGATCATCAAATATATTTGGAGAGAGTAAATAAGATCGGGTTAAATCTATATGATAACAAGCACTAGATCTTACTTGATAGAATTTGAACCTTCCCATATAGGCATTGGTGAATTAGACTATATAAACGTCTGATAGCATCTAAAATATCTTATGGTTGTTACTCAGAACTTGATTTTCTTTGGGTTGTTTAGGTGAGGAAGAGGATGATGCCTCAGGAGAACTCGTACTACTTGACCTAACATCATTTTTATTATGTATCTGCTCAAATGGAAGTTCTAGCATAATAGATAGAATTGTGTTAATTTAGAAATAATCATCCACTTATTTTCTCCTGAAATATATATTTAGATTTAGCTAAAACTTACTAGAGAACTCTTCATAAATTTCTTCACTAATTTAACTTCTTGGATTTGCTTATTTTCGGTTAATAGAATTTGTGTACTTATTATAAAGGTGTTTGTTTGTATTACTATATTGTGTAAAGATTTGTTTAATTAAAATTATTTATATATATATATATTCAGAAAATAAAAGCAGATTTTATTTGTAATTATCTTCATAATTCTGGCAAGACTTGTAATAAACCCTATACTTGATCTGAAGGTTGTCGATTGCATTACAAAGCTAAAAAGTGCCAGCCTTGCATAGAATTAGGATGTGATAAGCCTACTAGATCATCTTGTGATCATTGTCGTCTTCATACTAGGGCTATTATATGATTTAATATGTTAATAGACTTTGGGATAAGACCTTGATATTTGATATGTATTCAAAAGATTAGACTTTTAGTAAAAGATAGATTTATTATATAGTTAGTTGAGAGGTTAGACTTTTTTTGCGGTTAGATTTCACATATAGGTAGACAAAAGATTAGACTTTTTGTCTCAGGTTTGTGTAAAGGAAATAGCTGTAGAATAGTTTCCTATATGTTGATAAATTAATAATATGCTAGAACATAATCATTAAGCTTTTGATTTGCAAACTAAATAACTGTTAAATCAAATCTCGAAGAAGTTAGACTTAGCATATAATATGCATTTTAGACTTGCATGATCAGGTTCAGCTCAAATCGCTTCACTTTGTTCTTTGATTTTCAATGGTCCCTCTAGAGGCAAGCAGAATAGTATAAAAGTTATTATTCATATTGGGTTTGCAATGTCAGGCTCAGCTCAAATCGCGTTACTTTGTTTCTTGATTTTCAATGGTCCCTTCTAAGGCAAACAAAATAGTAAAAATTTTTTGACATATTATTTAGGATTAAAATCAGATTAGAATGGCTATATTAAACAGTATAATTCTTGGTATCTGAAGGCTAATTCCTAGCCAAGTTTGATATTATCATCTATATTTAAAATATTTATAATTAAATTACTATAAAATATTGCAATTGAATGTAATTAAAAAATTATTAATAATCTATAAATTATTAAATTAGCTGTAAAAAAATAATATTTCTAAAAAAATATAGAAAAAAAAAAGGAAACACGTTTAAAAAAAAGGAAATAAAATTTTTTTAGATAAATCCAAAATTTATTATATTGTAAATTAAACTGAAAATTTTTAGATAAATCTAAATTTCATTAGAACTTGTTCTAAATTAAATGATTTGCATATTTTTCAATCAAATAATTTATCATTCTTATATTAACGATTATTATTTTAAAGGAACAATTTTATTAAATAATTATTATTTCTTAAAAATCATTTTAAAGAGATGATTTTTTAATTATTCAATATTTATTGTTTTTTAGAATAATTTTTTAAAAATTTTTAATAAAAATGATAATTTATTATTCTAAAATGATGATTTTTCATTTAAACATTCAATAAAAATAATAATTTATCATTATAAAAGGATTTTTCATTAAATAATTCAATTAGAATTTGCTAAAAGGCTTATCAAAAATATTAGTTGAATTTAAGGTTGTTGGACGAAATTAAGAGTTTAGACAAACATCTAAATGATAAAAGTAAAACTTGGTTAAATTATATTAAAACCTTATTAAAAAATCTGCGAAATTTGAAAAAAGGTAAAACTATATCAAAGCTTATAAAAATGGTGAAACTATATCAAACACTTAGTAAAAATTTAGCGAAACTAAAGGTTTTACCGTTTTGCAAATCCAAAATGAGTTTAGACAAGCAACCTTAGTTGAATTAATTGTTAATTTAACATGTTTAGTATTTTAGAGCAATATAAACAAATTTTATCTTATTTTAATTAATAATAAAGTATATTAAAATTAAATTTTATTAATGCAAAATTTTAACAAGAAATTACTTTTTTTGAGATGGTTTTTTAAGAACAAAGGATAAAAAATAAGTTTAAATAAAATAATTTATTTATTTAAATTGAAATTTTATATAAACTATTGTTAAAGTTTTAGGCTAAATGATAATAATATTATTAAATTAATATTTGATTGTTATAAACTTTAATATTATAATTTTTTAATTCAAAAATTTTGCAATTAATTATAACTTATATTGTAATCTTAAAAGTTGCAACTAAATCCATTTTAATTAGAAGCCTTATAATATTTGTAAATTTCACAAATAATATATTATTTATAAATTTTACAAATGTCAAAAACTTGTGAATTTTGTAAATATTAAAAGCCTTACAGAATTTATAGATTTTGCAGAGCCTTATTGTTATAGCACTTAAAAATATACAAGAAAAATATACTTTCTTATTTTTAGAAGAAATTTATGTTATATTATCAGCATCAAATTATATTTAGTAAAATCAAAAAAAAATTTTATAGTAATATTAAGATCAATAGAATCATTTGACATAAAATTTAGTTGAGATGTTTTACCGAATTTTACCGAGTTTCGCGTAGATTTTTCCAGATTTTTAGTATATCAATATAACTGTTTGAATTTTCCCAAATTTCTACTCTCACTTTTCAATTTAAAAGTATTTTCTATTTAATGAAACTGTTCTTTTAAACAATAGAATATTTAATTTCTTTATATTGTTTTGGCAAACCTTCATAATATATTTATATTACTTTATCGCTTCATTGTACATATACACAAGTGCTTTGTATATTGAAAAAAAAAAAATAATAAAATAAATATTTCGACATCCGTGATTATTTCAGTAGTTCTTTAAAATTTCTCATCGAGAATTGAACACAGCGAAATTAGATTCTGGGTATAGGTCGTCCGATGTAGATCTTACATTTAAATCGGATATTATTTCCGTACAACAAAAAACTTTTTCACTCTTCGCATTATTTTTTTTTAAAAATTTACTATCATGGAAACACTGGAAATTATAGTTGATACCAAAGAAAAGAGACAAATTAAAATTAAGAGTATTTCATATAAAGCTACCGAAATAGATGTAATTAAAACTTTATCAAAATTTGGACCCATAGCTAATTGTAAAATTATAAAACATAAAAAAAAGAATAGACACTCTGGTTTTGGTTACGTAGAATTTGAAAATGAAAAAGATGCTGATAAATGTATCTCTGAATCACGATATAATCCACCAAAATGTATGGGAAGAGAATTATATATACTTCGCGTTAAAAGAAAAAAGGAAAACCCAAAATGGAACGATTTAAAAGAAGCTACAATTACTTTTTCAAATTTGGAAATCGGGAATTGGGATGGACAATCATCTAAAGTGCATAAAAATAGTAAAGGACGAGGAAGAAGAAGTTACACTGATACTCTCACGGAAAAATTTACTTTCTTAAAAGAATGGGAATATCCGAATGAATATGAGAAACCTAGTATATGCTTTTCAAAAACCGCCGATGCCTTTGTATTGGAAGGGTTTAATTCATCATTAACCTCAAAAAGGCGTGTTAAAATTCCCTTTCGTATTTTAACCGAAAATGCACGGGGAATTTTCATGGATGATAGTGAAAATGGTGTAATATCACTTTACATTAGCTTGAAGCATCCTCCATATCTTTACCGAGAGCAAAACTTCATGCCATTATTTCACTTTCTAGATATGGTTAACGATGATCCTTGGATCAGAACTGTTGATTGGACTGGAACTGATAATATATTTGGAAGATGTTTGGTGTTTCGATTAGTCTTTAGATATAAACTCAATGATTTATGCGATTTATTAGATAATTTTAAGTTAAAAGGCATTCAACGTCCCATGCCTCGATGCCCAGTCAATTGCATTAAAAATCCAGATCATTCGAAAGAATATTTTGAAATTATCATTCAAACATTACCATTTGGAATATGTTATAAATTGGAAAGTCTAATTTCCCATGGAACATTAACACATTATGAATTGGAAGTGAGCAAATTAGGGGAGAGTTTAGCCGAATTGGTGCATGTTGAAGAACAAGAAGTAATAGCGTGGCACGCATTAAATCAAATATCGGCTAAATATTGGGATCCTTTTGATAGAAAATCTCAAGATCGTCCAATTTCAAATTTTAATATTGCATTAAAAAGCTTTAAGAGTGAATTTAATGTTTGGTATCCTTCAAATCCGAATATTAAATTAAAAAACGATTCTCGTAATGCATGGGTAAACCATGCAACGATAACACCTACAAAAATATATTTTGACGGGCCAAACTATGAACAATCCAATAGGATATTACGCTTATATGAGGATAAAATTGATCGTTTTTTGCGTGTTACATTTAAAGAAGAAAATTTTGATAAATTATTTGTTAATAAAGAAGATGTTGATATAATTAATTTGAGGATTATTAATATTATGAAAAATGGATTTCATGTGGCTGGCCGGTATTATGAGTTTCTAGCCTTTTCTTCATCCCAACTAAAAGAAGCATCTTGTTGGTTTGTTGCTCCTTTTGAAGACTTCAATGCCAATGCTATTCGCACAAGTATGGGAGAATTTAGGTTAGTTATAATTTATAATTTGCAAATTATTTATAGTCTTTCAATTAATAGCTTATGTTAAATAGAGATATTAAGGTTCCTGCACTATATGCATCTCGTATGGGACAATGCTTTACAAGTACGATGGGAACATTGAAACTTAATCCGGATCAAGTACACGAAATAATGGACATCAAAAGAAACAATTATACGTTTAGGTGATATGATCATTATCGAAAATATCATTTGTTTATTTGTTCAAATTTAAGCATTATTATGAATCGATATTATTATCGTTATTTTTAGTGACGGTTGCGGGAAAATTTCGTTAAGTTTAGCAAAGCGTGCGGCGAAAGAGTATTATGGAACCAAAAATCTAAAAGATGATGAAATCCCTTCAGTATTTCAAATACGGTTCGGTGGATGTAAGGTATGATATACGCGATTCACCTCATTTTATAATTATTTTATGATATATACACACATATTCTTTAGGGAATGGTTGCAGTAGATCCAAATCTTGAAGGTGATGTTTTATGCATACGCCCTAGCCAAAAAAAATTCGATGCGCCTGACTCATCAATCTTAGAAATCGCGAAAACTGTAAAAACTCCATTGCCCGGTCATTCAAATCGACAAATTATAATGATATTATCGACGCTTGGGGTGCCAGATGAGGTGTTTAGTGAACTACAAAACGAAATGTGTGCAGACATTGATTCAATGATGACGAATGAGAATAAAGCACGCGAAATTGTAAAACGTAATACAGGCATTAGAGAATGCTTACACATCACGCGTACTATTCTTAGCATGATTGAAGAAGTTTGTATTAAATATAAATATTTTATTTTATTTAACGAAGCCTTACTTTATATTGTCTGAATTTTTTATCTGGAAATTTAGGGAATGATGCAAGGGATTATTGATCCATTTTTAAATGCCCTTTTGGAGTGTAAGCGTGTTTACGCATTAAAGGTGTTAAGACACAAAGCTCGTATTTTAATGCCTAAATCATTCCTATTATTGGGCGTGATTGATGAGACTGGAAAATTGGAAGAAAACGAAGTTTATCTGCAAACTTCTACCATTGTTAGCGAACATTTAACGTTCAATAAAGCGAATAATAAAATTCGACGAGAATCTAAGGTTTGGACAGGTCCAGCTGGTAAGTATTTTTGCACATTACAAAGATTATCTATTACATGTATAATATATTTTGATTATTTTATAGTTATTACTAGGAACCCATGTTTGCACCCCGGAGATCTAAGAAAAGTTGAAGCGGTCGACATTCCCGAACTGTCTCATTTAAGAAATTGTGTAGTGTTCAGCCAAAAAGGAGATCGACCTTTACCAAATTGTTTGGTATTTAATATTATTGAATTTCTATACCCAATTTTATTTTAACATAAAATTTATTATCAAATTTTTTTTTTTTAAAAAAAATATATATATATATATATGTATATATATATAATAGAGTGGTGGTGATTTAGGTAAGGTTTATTGTTACGCTTTATTATCCTTTCATAATCAGTTTAATCTCACGTTTTTATTTATCTATTTTTTTTTTTTTAAAAAAAAAAATATAATAAAGATGGTGATACATTTTTCATTTGTTTCGATGAACGAATTTTAATTACCAAAAACGAGGAACCCATGGAATTTGATTCTCAAGGAAAAAAAGAGTTGGATAGGGATGTCGAGATTGTTGATATTTGCGAGTTTTTTAAAGACTACATGCTAAACAATAGGCTCGGTCAAATCGCCAATCTCCATTTAGCATTAGCCGATTACAATGAAATGGGTATTAGATCTGCAGAATGTATTAAGTTGGCACAACTGGTAAAATAAATTTTTAGTTATACAACAATCCCGATTAATAATACTTATTTTACCTTTCTTTTTTTCATTCTTCATAAATTATATATTTAGCATTCAAACGCGGTTGATTTTAATAAAACTGGAATTCCAGTGGTTGAAAAATTGGCAATGCGTTCTGAATACCCGGATTTTATGGATTCTAGATATAAAGATTCGTATAAGTCAGAAAAGGTTCTAGGAAAATTGTATCGCGACATTCAACTTGATAAGCCCGAGAAGGATCCTTTGTTAAAATATTATAAAACGAATATAACAATAGATGAAAATTTTTTGTATGAAGGATATCAAGACTATATAGAAGAAGCTATTGCTTGTCTTGATCATTATAATAATGAAATTCGAAGTCTTATGAAGAAATATAATGTTAAAACCGAGGCAGAAATTTTAACAGCGCAATTATTGGGATTCCGGCGTATTGATGGTAGTAAAAGTCAAGATATGCGAGATGCGATTACCGGGTCGATATTTTTCATAATATATAATTGTCGTAAACAATTCTTGATGGACTTACAAGATTCACATAACGATCATGAAGCAGATGAAGATGAATCGCCATTTAATTTAAATGCTACAATTCCTATAAACAATGAATCAAAGGCTAAAGCTTCGGCATGGTACTATGTCACATATAACCAAGATGAATATCCTGAAGAGGAAAAAAACAAGACCACCTTATTAAGTTTTCCATGGGTTGTATCAGATATATTATTAGCAATTCGCAGGGATAACATGAATGAGTTACAGTCATATGAACTGTTAAACTAGTATTACTTAGTCTGTGAACCTAATGCGGTTAGTTTTTTAACGTCATGAATAAAACGACATTCATACTGATACCTTTTCATATTTTTGCCATAAATGATCATATTGAAATAAAATTAGTACCATTGGGAATTGATTCCTCTTGATGTGATGGTTCGAATGGTCGATATATGCAATGCCTGTGTAACGAGATCGTTCTAAATAAAAAACAAAATGTTGGTTCATAAGGTGTAGATCAAAAAATACTAATCATTGTTTTGGCACAAACAAACAAAGTGTCAAATATTTAATTTTCGTATTGTAATTGATATTAAAATTATGAGATTAACCAAAAAGTTTAGAGTTCCAAGAAAAAGTTCAACAGCCACAACACTCTATACTGTATGATATCCTTGTTTTGATTATTTATAGGTATGAAACTCACGAGAATTTGTTTTGTTTATATATCAAATTGGAAAGCTTTATTGACAAGTTTGAAAGGACAATTCCTTTTTTGATTTACTCCCCCTAAATTATTATGAATTATCAAAATGATTTAAAACGATACAAATTTCAAAATTCATAAATTTTATTTTAAGAGTTACTCGTTGGAAAAAAACGAATTCCAGTCCTCTACAAAATGACAACGCCAGAAATTGATGTTAATTATCAAAATGATAATGGAATTGCTAGAAGCGATTCAATCGATGATAAAGAATTTGAAAAGTCATTACTACGAAAAATGGATTTTAGAATTATTCCTTTATTAACTTTTTTATATCTTTTAAGTTTCTTGGATAGGTAAATAGTGATAAAGGTTTTCTGATTTCGTACGTATCAAAAAATTTATATAACGTATAATGATCATTTCTAGAGTTAATATTGGAAATGCATCTTGAAGAGGATCTTGGATTAGTTAACGATCAATATAATTGGTGTCTTAGTATTTTTTTCGTGTAAGGCTTCATTCAATAATTAAAAATCTATAAAGTTGAAATTGATAAAACAAAGTTTAACTTTTTCTTTGATATAGAGGATATATTTTTTTTGAAGTTCCTTCGAATTTAACGCTTATAAAAACAAGTCCATCAAAGTGGAGTAAATAACATCAATTTTTTTTATAATTCCAAATGATTCAAAATCAATGAATTACTTTCTCATTCTTAGTTCCATCCACGATGATATTTTGGGGAATTACAATGTCACTCATGGCACTCGTAAGTTTTCCATTTTCAAGAAATCCTAGAATCAAATAATTAAAGAAGGTTTTCCAATTTTTATTTAGGTAAAAAATTATCATGGGTTATTGTTAGCAAGATTTTTCTTGGGAGTTTTCGAGTCTGGATTATATCCAGGTGTTATTTTTTATATTACAATGTGGTATCGACGTTCAGAACAAAATTTTCGTATAGGATTGATTATTTACGATTGGGAATAGTTTTGCTGGTTCATTTAGTGGTTTGTTAGCATACGGTATTGTAAGATTAGACGGAAAATTAAACCTAACAGGATGGCAATGGGTTCGTAATGCTCTTTTTTTTCCGTTTTCGTTTTAACCTTTCCTAACGAGATTTTTGTTAGTAAACAGTTATTCTTAATCGAAGGAGTAATTACAATTGTAGTCGCTTTTTTTGCATATTTTTACATTGCTGATTATCCTGAAAAAGCTAAATGGCTTGACGATAAAGAACGCAGATTTGCTACCCAACGATTAATTCAAGATGCCGGGAAAGCTCACATAATCCATTTCGACAAAGTCCAGCTATTCGAAGCGTTAAAAGATTGGGTACGTAAAATAATTAATTTGTAAATTCTTTTCCTTTTATTTATTTTAAAAAAATATCGATTTCTTTTTTAGAAAGTTTACATGTCTATGATACAGCTTTGTGGGCTTTCAACATCACTTTATTCTTTTTCATTTTTTCTTCCGTCTATCGTAAAGGGATTGGGATTTGATTTCGGTAATTATAATTATACACTTTGACAATTTTTCTATAGATCTATTTGTATTAAAATAAATAAAATAAAAAAATCTATCACAGTCATATCACAGTTATTATCGGTACCACCATTTTTATGTGGGTCTTTGTCAACATTATTTGTAGCCATACTTTCGGATCGTAAACGTACTCGTGCTCCATTTATTGTTATATTATCACTTATTGGGATAGTTGGTTATATTTTATTAAGTGTACCTTCATTTGGTATTGCTGGTAATGGGGGAAAATCCTTTAAAATCATTTTCTTTTAAACTGACTGCAAAGAAGAAAATTATAATGTTTTTGTATCTAGCAAAATACATTGGAGCTTGCGTTGTTGGAATTGGTGCGGGTCCGAGTCTTGTAACTACAATTACATGGTAATTTATAAGTTTTCGTCTTATTTTCTTTTCTTTTTTTTTTCTTGATATAAATTTCACATTCTCCTTTCTTAGGCTAACAAATAACGTGGCGGGTAACGGGAAAAGAAGTGTGGCGACGGCAATGTTGATAGCATTTGGGAATGTAGGGGGGATAATAGGATCACAGATCTATCGACCAAACGATGCTCCACTTTATTTAATTGGTCATTTAAAGTCTGCGATATTCTTAATTGTCTTAATTTGTTTTACCATTGTACAATATTATTATTTAAAAAAACTTAACAAGAAAAAGCAGGTGGATCCGCAATCTTTCTTGGAAGGAAAAAGTGAAAAAGAAATTGGGGATATGGGTGATAAACACCCAGATTTTATTTATATTTTGTAAAAATGAAAGTAAATCAAATGTCGATCTTTTTTATATTGTGTAACAATGAAGTCAGTAATAACAAATCAAATTAACGAGAGCACATCAACCACAATATAAATTTATATTTATTTTAATTCAATAAAAACTTGAAGTATGAACTTTTCATACTTTTGACCAATATTCATCTAAATATTCAAAGTATATTTCTTTTAATTATAATTTTAATAATAGTGCTTTTAATCTAATATCATTAGATTTTCTATTTATTAAAAAAAATATTATAAATTTTTTTTAGTTTTCAAGAATAAGTTTTATATCAGATTTTAAATTTTGTTGATTAAATTTAAAATGTATATTATATAAGGATAAAGTTGATAACGATAAATAAACTAGATAGTCTTTTTTGCATCAATACCCATGGGATACAAGAAATGATATGGTCAGATTTAAAAAAAAAAAGTGATCCTTGCCTTTTAGATGGATAAATTTACAAAATAAAATCAATCTTGATAGTTTCAGACCATAATTACTTCTTCATAATATTACAGTGGCGATCATAAATTATGCAACAAAAAAATAATTTTCATTAAAACGAAATATTTCTTGTAATTACGGA